TTTGTATTCTGTGTTTTTCTCTCATTCAAAATCAAACTGACACGAATTCATCAGCATTTTAATAAATTAATTAACTACATTTGATAAGTTTTGAGATGCAATAACAGCCCCATTGGTTTGACATTTTCATTTTTCTTTCCTTGTGACTGATTATTGTGCTCTGTTGATTGCAACTCCGTTGACGTCAGTTTTGACAACTATCACGGTTTGTATCTTCTTCCCTAACAAATATCTGCCTAAACTAAACAATGGCAATGAGACTTTTAACTAACTATACCTTTTGCAAAAGTTGCCCTTCCATCCCTTTGAATATAAGTTATTCCTTAATTAGATTTGTAATCTATAATTTTGAACAATTAACTAAAAGTTTTAGTTGTTATTTGTTTAAAATATTTTGTATAACAATTATGTTTTAAGTAAATTTGTTCTATTTCTTGTTCATACAGTCAACTGTATAAACTTATACCCAAGTACGATAAGTCTTAATTTAATTTATTTTAGTTCATTGCTAATTATATCGCAGCCATTTTTTACATTTTTATCTGTGTTTTTTTTATCGCGAAAGATGGTTTGTACAAGTTTTGAATTAAAATCGCCAGATAAGTGACAAACGTTCGTGTATGGATCGTTATGTCTTTAAAAAAGCATTTGTTAATTATAATTATTTAGTTTTATTTTCATCTGAAGTATTAATTCTAGATGAAGTTTTGCTCATTTAGTTAGAAAAGTAGCCAGCCAGTCTGTCTGCTAAATTTATAAGTTTTTAAAAAAAGCAAAGCTGGAGAATTCATTTTGAGATTGTCTTGTATGGTTTAGTAATGTTAGGTGCTGTCTTATTTGGACAGGGCACTAAAATGGTGATGATAGTGTTCCATTTGATCTTTACTTTCTCATTGTTCCCCATGAGTTAGTTGATTTTCTTTAAAAATTTCTAAATTTTTGTTTAAATAATTAATTTTTAAAGTCTAGAAGTTGTAAAATGTAATCTGTTTCTGGCTTGAATTTATCAACTTTTGTATTTTGTCTAGTTTTATTATAATGATTAAATGAGAATATCACAAGATCAAATAATCAATTATTTTCCCAACATTGTAGTTATGTGCTCATCAGTTTCTCCATATCCTTCATCTGCAAATGTCAATTATAAACCATTTTACTGTTCCAAATATAACCAAGTTTTAAACGAGGGCCTATCCAATTTTGGTCCTAACTTCACAAACATTGGAAACCGTTCTTATCGCCTAACTAAGGGCTACACGCCGTTAGATTGTAATTTAAACTCTAAAGTTATGCATAGGTTCTGCTTTGTTCTAATTTCTAAATTGAACAACAGAGCAAACTTGTATAATCTCTCTAATGAATGCTGGATCAACTCTGGAGGTATTTGTTGCGTGTTTTATTTATAATATGGATGTTATTAATAATAATAATAATAATAATCCCAACATAAAGTGAGTTTTTGTAACAAGACAGAGTGTGAGCTCGAGATGGTTGCTAAGAATGATTCTTGGTACTGTTGCTGTAAAGAACAGATGTGTAATCTTAAGTTCACTTTTACTAACAGAATTTTTGAGCAACATTCTTCTCCAAATGATGTTAACAGTAAGACAGGTTAGCCATTGTTGTGTTTTGAAGTGTTTTTTATGTTTTTTTATTCATTAGTGATTTGATTGGTTGATAAAAGTTTTATAATATTTGTTGTGCTGCTTTAATTACAACACAACCAACACAAACACCACTTAAATTTTGCTATTCATTTAGTGGCTGAGATTGAAAGGTTGGACAAAGCTAGTCTGGCAAACAAAGGTCTTCCGTTTCAGTCTGATACTGCTTATGTTCGTCTAACCTTCGTAGTATTATTGCTGCTGTTAAGTTATTTTCATAATTAACCATTATTATTATCATCATACTTTTTGTAATTATATTTAATTATTATGGTAACAAGCAAACACAAACTTTCCCACGAAGGTTTTGATGATGACCTTAGTACCGCTAACATTCATCGCCCTCTTCATCATCCTCTCCTTCCTAATTTACCGCCTCTGCAGAAAGGGGCACGACTGCAACAATGACTCCTCCTCCACTGACGACTCTCTCACTTCGAAGGTGGCCCCCCTCCTGCCCCCTCCCAGCCCCACTATCTCTCTCGATAGGATCAATAGGCTGAAGGAGATTAAGCTGCTAAATGAACTGGCTGTTAGGCATTTTGGTGGGTGTGTCAAGAAGGCTTTGTTAGGAAATGAGGTTTGTGTATGTGTGGTTGTGGTTTGTTCATTTCTTGCTCAGCTGACTTTTTTTGCAGATTTTTGGTTTAGTATGTTGTACAGATATGAATACTACTATACAGATGCATGCGTCCAGTTCACGCACGCACACATACACAAGGATACATGCATGCATACACATACACACAAACTTATGCATATATACAGGTTGTAGCAGTTAAGATATTCAATGCAGAAGATAAACAGTCTTGGGAGAAGGAAGTGAACGTTTATACAATGGATGCTATGAAGATTGGTTGGCTCTGTTTGATGTTGTTGTTGTTGTGGTTGATGTAACTGTAATTGATGCTACTGATGTTAATGTTGCTTACTGCTTGCTAATTATTATTAATGCAATTAATTAGGGCATGAGAATGTATTGAAGTTCATTGGAGCCATGAAAAAAGACATCATCAACGAACAAGGTAGTGTCATTATTGATTTATTTATTCATTTGTTTTTTAATTCATTCGTTCGTTCGTTCTATAATTCTCCCTCTCTTCCCATAATTCATTCACTACCAAAATGAAAAGTTAATAATTAAAGAAATGTGTACAATTTTTTTTAACAGGCAATAAAGTGTTGCAGTATTGGCTTGTTACTGAGTATCAAGATTTGGTATGTAATGAATGATTAGTGATAGATTAGAATAGAAATATATACATACACGTACATATATGCATTTATACATACATACATATGCACATACATGGACATACATACTCATAGACATACATACATACACAGGGCAGTTTGTATGATTTTCTAAAGAACAATACTCTAACATTTGACGAGGCCTATAAGATAATATTAACTGCATGTCGCGGTTTATTTTTCTTGCATCAACCCGGCACTAAATCTGATCTTGCGTATCGTACCAACAACAACATCATTACTCCTAGCATCGTCAACAACAACTGCAATAATATGTATAACAACAACGTCTTCAACGACAGCAACAGCGCTTACAATAGCAACAACAACAGTTGCAACAATAGCAGCAACAACAACAATGATGATGGCGTCGGCTACATTAACAGCACAGCCAATGCTAACTACATCAATTTTATTAGTAGTTTGGAGAGTAAGAAGACATTTAACATAAATATACCAGCTAATAAATTCTCAATTGCGCATAGAGATATAAAGAGTAGGAATATATTACTTAAGAGTAATCTCACAAGTAGCATTGCAGATTTTGGACTGGCTCTTGTTATGGATGATAGGAATAATACTGCTATCAGTCAGGTTGGTTAGGGTTGGCTGGAGGACTGGCTGTATTTAGTAGCTGGTTGTGATTGATTGGCTGTGATTAGATAGTTATGGATGTTGGTTGATAACAACACGCACACACACACACACACACACACACACACACATATATATATATATAATATAGAATTTATAGAATATTGTAAATATATATATATATATATATGTATATATATATATATATATATATACACAGGTGGGTACTCGTCGTTACATGTCTCCAGAGGTTCTAGATTGCACAATCTCCTTTGACAAAGCTTCCTTCCTTAAGGTTGATATGTATGCATTTGCCCTGGTCGTCTGGGAGGTTCTGACTAGAACCATTACTGATGAGATTAGTTAGTTGATTTAATAATAATAATAATAATAATGTTATTATAATTATTGCAATAACAATATTTATTATTATCCAAAACAGAAAGTGTTGACGATTACAAGTTGCCGTACGAAGATCGAGTCGGTTTGAATCCTTCAATTGAAGATATGCAACAAGTGGTGGTTGAAGATAAACTGAGGCCTAACATTAGAAAAGAATGGCTCCAACATGAGGCATGTTTATGTGTCTGTGAGTGTTTGTGCGTGTGTGTGTGTGTTTATACATTTATTGTGTTTATATATTTATAAATCTACATTACCCTAGGAGATAAAAGCCATAGTGAATGCGGTAGAAGATACTTGGGATTCAGACCCAGATGCTCGACTGACTGCCACAAGCTTTCTAGGCCGCATAGATATGATAATGTCTGAAAGATCCATGCTCCTGTCATCAACAGCCAATCGCAGTGCAGATAATCAGGTCAAAGTTGATTGTAATCGGGTCAACAATGCCACTACTACTAACGTAAGTAACGCATGGAAGGGTTGTTTTTCCTCTGAAAATGATAATAACCTTCGGCAAAGCTTCGAAGGTCATTTTGGTGATTTCAAACTCCCAACAGAAATGAAGGTGAAGGTCGGACATGATCTAATTAACGAAAACAAAGGTGTTCAAAAAAATGTTAACATGTTTCATAATCCCATCAGCGTTTGGCACGGCGCTAGCAGTAGCAATGATGTTAATAAGAGAGCTGATGGTAATTTAGGACCGTGCAACATAACTATCAACAATCTATCAGAGTTGGTGGATATAAAAAATGATCCCAATTGCACTAACTCACCGCTGATTAGAGACAATAGAGATATTTCTAACTTTGATGATGTCAGTTCTAGGCACCCCACTAATGTTGTTGTAGATGTTGGTGGTTGTGGGCCGCTCAAAACAAATATGGCCGGTGGCACCCTTAATTCCAAACTTATTTCTCCGTGGAATTTGCAAGGGCCTAGTGAAAAGGTGCTTGTTCAGTCGTTCAAAGGTGGAAAAAATGTTAGTTCAGTTGTCACTGGAGGTGATTTCAAAGTTGATGGCAAGAAATGCGACGGTAGTGTTGGAGGTGTCAGGAGGAGTTTCGATGTTGCTAGCGGCAACAACTCTATTGATGACAGTGCTAAAAATATCAATGAGGATGACGACGACGAAGAGGATGACGATAATAAGAATGATAATTATGAAAGGTTGATTAAGTCATCTCTCCTGACGTCATCCAACAACAACAACAGCAATGATATTAATGCTTCTAACAACATCTCAACCAACCAGAGCGCACCTGATCCAACAACGGCTACAGATTCGTCTACAACAACTTCCACGAACGACTGCACGGTGAAGGGGCTAATGGAGGAGCTGACCACCAACAGTCCAAATTTTTTGACCATGGATAAAGAGGGAGACTACTTGATTCCCCCATTAAATTTAGTTAAGATGGCCACCCCATTCATACCTTCCCCTGACCAATCAACGTCCTCTCAAAATAACTTCTTCAATTTTCCTACAACTACTGCTGGCTCTACTAATAACAATGATAGTAGTAGCACTAATAACAGCATTGACATCAATTCTACAGGTAATAGTAGCGATGCCAACAGTAACATTTTTAATGTCATCAGCCAGGAACAACTTAATGAGTTAATGATGAAATATGGCCAGGGTAGTAATTTGTGGAATTTCACTGGCGCTAATAATGCCAGCATTATTGATGCTAATTCTTCTACTAATACTAATCTTTCACCAATACATTTAGTAGCTGCAGCAGTAGCAGCAGCGTCACCATCGTTGCTGTCGTCAGCCCAAAAACCACAACAACCACCGACAACTTCAGCGTCATCGATGTTGATGTCATCATCATCTGACATCAACAGAAATGTCGCCAATGTTAACACTGATCAACAGCAGCAGTTGCAGCAGAACATTATAATGTTGCTGATGGACAAAGCCAAGCAGCAGCAACAATACGAACAACAACAACAGTTGAATGTTGAAAAACAGCAACAATAACAACAATATTAATAATATCCATTATAGTACTAGCAATTATAATAATAATGTTTAATTACATTATTGCTATAATTGCTGCTACTTCTTTTGTTATTATCGTTATTTGCTTTTATTTGTATTTTTCATTCTTCCTACTTAATTGGTGGTGTGATTCATTATTGAAAATGACGGACCTATGTGGAAAAGTTATTACAACTTAATGACTTGAAGATAATGACGAAATGAATATGTAATATAATGAAAAAGAACATCTATATTTATATACAATAAATATGAATATATATATATATGTATATATATATATATATATATATATATATATTTGCATTTATATATGCAAATGTGTTTAGTATGTTGGGTTGTTTTTATATGTGCTTTCAAGTAGTTTATTTTTTATTTCTCTCTATCTCCCTCTTTTTTTCTCTCTTTTTTTCTCGCTCTTTCTCTCTCACTCTCTCTCTTTTTCCCTCAACATATATTTACTAAATGTTGGAAGGAGACCATACTTTATACAGTGTTGTATGAATTCTACCGAATTGTTGGCATTAATCAATTTAAAGTTTGCTTTTTCAATTTTCCTTAATAAAATTTTCTGAAAATTGTTCAATTTTTTGGAAAATAGAATTATTATCCAAGTTCATCATGAAAATTTAATTAAACTCTTGTCATCCAAATTCATCATGCAGATAGGCTATAATGAAATTTGTTAAGACAAACTTTAAATTCATTAATGCCAACAATTCGGTAAAATTCATACAATGCTGTGTATATGTATGATATATATACTAAATGTACTTGTTGCCAATCCCTTGGGTATGTTTTATATATATATATATATATATATATATAGATATTATTTATTTATTGTCGAAGAACAAACGTTTAATAATTTCTAATTATGCATATTACGTTTTTGTGTTACGATATGTTTGTATGTACGTGTTTGTGTTTAAACGTATGTCTGGCTATTTGTTGTGAATCTTCTTGCATCGTATTACTGATTCGGCGTCTTTTTGTTGTTGTTATTATTATTTTGATGTTATTGTTATTTTATTGTTATTGTTACCATAATTTGGGAAAATATTATTTTACAAATTTTTTTTTGTTGTGTACAATGCAATCAGAGGTTTGAAAGTTAAATCGCCAATTATATTGCTTTTTCATATTTTTATCTGATATTTTAATTATTCATTTGTTTATTTATTAAAATATAGTATATATGTATATATATATTATATATATATATATATATGTTGGAAAGAAATCATATATATATATATATATATATATATATATAATTATAGTGTGCTTCATTTTAATGTTAAGACATTCTTTTTCTATATACGTAATATGGCTTTTCTTCCAAATGACTTTGATAACGATGATGATGGTCTGATTGATGGTGATGATTTGATTGATGATGATGATGGTGGTGGTGGTTAAGATGATAAGGATGATAATTTCCTTGAAGTGTATGTGTTGTTCATTGTTGTTGTTGTTATCGTTAAAAAGCACAGAATAATGAAAAACCGTTTAAACCATTGATTGAAATATAATAATAATATTATTAATTATCATTATTATTATTTAATCATAGTCATGTTATTGATAAAAATTATAGTTATAGTTTAATGTCAATTCTTTCTCTGTGTGCTTAAAAGAAGAGTTAAATCGTAAATGCATGAAATAATTGTCGTAAAAAATCTAAGAAAAATTATAAATTTCGGTAATAATTATTTTATTATAAGTAATATAATAATTATGTTATTAAATGATAATACTGAATAATAATTATAAACCGAATTTAGTTGGATTTCTTAATGAGAGAACGTTGAATAAAATTATTTTAACAACAAAAGTGTTTTTTCTAACATCAAGTTCATACATCACTTCATACATACGTACATTAATACATACAAACATGCATACGAACAAACAAACAAACATTCATACATACATACAAAGCACAAAAGCTCAACTTAAAAATTTTATGTAGTATGTGTGTGTAATGTAAGAATGTATGTATTTGTGTATGTATGTTTTTGTATATATTTTCGTATGTATGTTTTTGTATACATTTATGCTATGTTTGTATATATTTATGTAGATATTCATACGCCATGTCTCCTCTTTGCATGCTGTATTGATAAAGGTGCTTGCTTGCCATCATCATTGCAGTAGTCTTATACACATTTACATTGAATTTAAATGCATATGCATATATAAGTTTACACATTGATGATTTTTTTTCTGTAATTTCTAAAGCTATTGTAACACTTGTTTTTTTCATTATGTTTAACTACTTATAAATTTATTTATAAGTAGTTAAACATAAGTAGTTATGTTTGTTTATAATAACATCCCTGTGGCTTAAAGCAATTGATTTACCATCATTTCCTAATCTTATCTAATTCTTTCTAGCTTATTTTAATGCGTTTGTTGATTTTCTGGGATGATTAAACAGCCATTCATACAAGAAAACATATGCACACATACATGCACTCATACACAGAGGCCTATACATGGTTACATGCAGGCATACAAACATCAATGCCTAAATTCTAACTATAGTTCTATATACGATTTTGAATGCATTTATATAGTAACTAATACACAATTTTGTATGCATGTGTGTATACAAACACGTATGTATGTGTATGCAAGCATGTATGTATGTATATGGAATTTATTCATTCAATTTTCCAAAGATAACTGAGTAATCAGCACGTACTGCGTTCATCACTCAGTTGGAAAAGTCGCAGGTGTGCATTATGTTTAATTTCATATTTTTAACGGTTCTCATTTCATAAATTTGTTAGTTTCCTACCTGTCTAATTTTCTGTAGATGTAAAGTGTTACTTGATAAAATATTTGTTAATTTTGATCGGGACTATTTTTTACGGCGTAGTAGTTTTTTTTCGACCGCATTACTATTGAAGCCATCTTTCGCCATCTTGGTTATGTTCAAAAAGTAGTTTTATTATTATTGTGATGGAGTGTTAATTTTTTTTCTGTAACTAACAAGAAATTGTTTCCGAGAAAGAACTACAAAAATCGTTTAAAGGTTTTTTGTACTGGGAATGACTCATATTATCGTTGACAATAACGGTTTGTTAATTTCACGATTAAATGCACTCTTCAACTATTTTCTATTTTTGCTATTTTATTTTTATCAATTGCGTATCTCAAATTGTATTAACATTAAAAATAAAGATGGATGTATGAATGTGAGTGCATAAGGGCAGACATGTTAACTGTTTATTCTTGATTGTTTGTGCTCTCCAGATAATATTGTGGATCAATTTGTCGTATATAATATTTTTAGCTTTGAGCGAGTTAGTTCGTCAAAATATCATCTCTTTCTCAGCCCTGGCGGAACTAGCTCATCACGAGTACCAAAATGGCGACTACGAGCACGCCGAACAACACTGCATGCTCCTTTGGCGTACTGATCCTACGAACACTGGTGTTCTACTTCTGCTTAGTTCCATTCATTTTCAATGCCGGCGTCTAGACAAGTTAGTTTTTTTTCTGTTTGTTGTTAATGAGTTAAAGAATGTTATCTTATTTGTTATGTTATGATTAAATAAATTAACAGAGTTAATGGTTGCTTTCAACTTAAATTAATTACTGACTTTGTTTAACTTTAATTACTTTTAATTTTATTGTTTGTTTGTTTTATTGTTTAGTTGCATTTATAAAATTAATTAATTAAATTTTCTTGATCTAAATTCTAAATCCTACATAGAATAATTGAATTTTCAATTTTTTTTAAACTAATCTGTAAATTATATTCATTGATTTTAAACTTGGCCTTACACAGATCAGCATATTTTAGTCAACTGGCCATTAAACAAGATCCAATGCTGGCAGAGGCATATTCAAACTTGGGCAATGTTTACAAGGAGAGAGGACAGCTGGTTGAAGCACTAGCTCACTATCGACATGCAGTTAGGTTAAAACCGGACTTCACTGATGGCTACATCAATTTGTCTGCTGCTCTTGTGGCAGCTGGAGAATTAGAAGCAGCTGTTCAGACCTACATAACAGCTCTTAACTACAATCCTGTTAGAAAAATGTTTTTTGTTTCATTGTAAAACAGTAATAACCTTCATTGTTGCAATGAAGAATTTTTCTTAATTTCAATAATAAATTTTGAAAATTTTTTTTATAACATTTTATTTAAGGTATTCAGTTAAATGTTTGTAATATTTTTTTCTTTTGTTAATCCCCTCAATGTTCAGGACTTATACTGTGTTCGTAGTGATCTTGGTAATCTTTTAAAGGCACTTGGACGACTTGATGAAGCTAAGGTATGAAGTGCTGCAAACCAAATATATATAATTCATTCAAAAAAAAGTTTTTTTCTTCGTTTGGGAATGCTTTTCTATTCAGTTGCTTCTTAATTTTTGGCTTTGTTAGTGCTTTTGAAATGAATTTTTTCTGTTTGTGGTTCAGGCAGTGAGTGAAATACTAAATTTATTTTTGCTTTTTTTTTGTTTAAGGAACTTCAAAAATGTTTTTAATATTTTCTCATTTTTCCAAATTAATAGAAGAGTAAATACTTCTTAAGCCTCTTTATAAAATTTTTTGCTGAAAGAAAATCTAACATTTTCATGATCCGTTAAATATGGTGATGTCTGAACCATGAATTAAAAAAATTAATTTCTGCGCATCATCTTCATCTCAGTCACCTTCAGTATTTTTTGTACCATTCACAGCGCTGCGTTCGTGTTACTTTCTCTGGCTCTGTATGTATGTATGTGTGTGTGGTGTGGTGTGTGTGTAGTGTGCGCTTGTGTAGTATTCAAGGTGTGCAATACACTGCATACACTACAAACGTACATACACGAGCCAATGGTTTTGTTTTTATTTTATTTATTTATAAAAAGAATAAGGGATGAGCCTTTAACATCACATACAAAAGTAATAAGGCAAATTCAAATCTAAGGTGCGTACATCAGTTTGGGATGGTTGATGTATGAAGATAACAGTATATATATATATATTCAACTTTCTCTCCCTAAACAATACTATATCTAGCTCTGTTTATCTTACTAACAGAAAGTGAATAATTATTATTAAACGTTTGAGCTGTTTTACCTGTTTTGCTTCAGTAACTTAGTTAACACTGTATCTAGTGTGTGCTTAGAACATGCCGGTTTCCGGTGAGTTATAAGTTGTGAGAAGGTTGTATGCTTATTTATTGAGCTGGCAAAGATTTTCATAACAGTATATTATTTCTGCATTGGAGTTAAGTTTGTTTTCTAATTTTAACTTAGTCATCTTAAACTCTCTGATTTTAAATTTGTTTCTTCTGAGACACTCCTTGGATTTATATCTCATAAAAGAGAGATCTGAAATTTTAGAGGATTTTATTGAGTTTTTTGTATTGTCTAAATAGGTAGCTGAGTTTAGTGCCTAACGTATCTATAAATTATTATTGTTATTTAATAGCGCTGCGAGTAACAAATCAATTAATTTTGTTCATTCATTCCTTCATTTGTCCATTCATTCAAGTCCTGTTCGTCTCCATTGATTCGTTCATTTATTCATTCATCATTATTGAAGTTGGATGTTTAAATGAAAGCATCTACATACTTGTTAAGTCTCATAATGTTTTAATGTATCAAAAGAGTTGAGAGATTTCGTTTATGAATTTTAAGTTGAAGAGTTTTTTGAAATTTACCAGTACAGTGATTGTTTTATTTTTCATTGTGTAGCCGGTCAGAAATATTGTACTATGTGTTACATTTCTATGCATCTGACAACTGCTATATAAGTATCTATATTTCTTTATTTACTGTTTAGAATTTCTCTTTACACTTGTTTAATCTATAAGATGTTCTTAGAATTTGCGCTACTACTTCTATTTTTTTTTATTTGAATTCAATTGTTAGATGTAAAGATTACTCAGCCTATCTCTGATGATACATGATATATTACTCAAATTAGTCAGTAATATCATAGCATTATTGTAAGATACGACTTCTGATTGCATGAAACTTTCTGTTTGGCAATCTATGCATTTATTTAATTGTAAATCATTCCAATGATTTAGTCATTTTTACAGAAATTTTACATTTTAGAAATGTATCATACAATTTTAAGATTATTAAAAATATTTTCGTTTTTGTAATAACGTGTAATGAGTATGTTGAACGTATGATGTGTTTTTTTTTATAAAATATAATTTAATGGTCTCGTGTTTGATGGAAAGATTCAGTCCATGCATCATTCAAACTATTTGTGCTAATTGTACAGGTTTAATAACTTCAGCAGCCATGCAAGAGTTTATTATTATGCAGTCCTTGTCAAACAAACTGTGTCACCAGCGCTGCTGCTACTACTACTGCTACTTCTGAATGTGGAAAGGTTCCAGTCAAAATTCTCGACGAATAAAACGATAGAAAAAAAAATGATTGCTATGTGAAAAAGTAGATAAAAACCTATGAAAAAAAATTATATTGATCTGATATTTTAATAGGAAATAATATTGTGGAATCCAATGCAAATATAGGCAACCTGTAAGTTTGTGTATGATAAATGATGATGTGATGATGCTTGTTGAATGCTGCTTTCTTTTTAATTTTTGGCGCGCGCGCTTGCGATTCTGCGCAACTATATGCAGCGTTCACTATTATTTTTTCATCACATATATGTATATATATATATATATATATGTCTATTTATATATATATGTCTGATGATAATGTTTAAAGATTGAGATGTATGTAATTAGTTATAAGCATCAGGTTTCATCATCCCATCATTCATTATTATTATCTTCAGTCATCGACGAACGCCTCACTCGATGTTTTCATGTTCGCGCTGTGGTGCGTGCGCGCGCGCGAGTTTTGGGGGAGGTGGGGAGCTTCGATTGGAAGATGATGTAGAGATAGATGAGAACAGTGAAAAAAATGGTTTTTATCAGTGAGATGAGTGCTAAGTTTGGTCTGCTGATAGCTGACTGACTGTCTATCTATCTGTCTGTTTTTTTGGTTTTATCAAATATTTTTATTCTGATCAAAGGTTTTATAAATTTATATATTTTTTATCTCCTTTTTTCATTTTATTTGAGAGAGGAATTGAAAACCGAAAATGATCAGATGAAAAACCAAACTGAGAATTAAGATTAGCGGATTAGGTGACTGTGAGTATGAAGAATGCGCAGCGATGTCGCAGCTGTTTTCTTATTTTATTTCATTGTGGATGCAGCAATTAATTCATTTAATAAATTATTAATTATTTTTGCCTAAACTAATCTCTTAAATGTTTTACTTTCCCTCAATACAAACGACAAATCCTGGATTGGTCTAAAAAATTGGCTAAATTTTAAAACCGTCGTCACAAATTTTTCAACTATTGGGGACTTTTTATATTTCGTCAACCAATTGAATTGGTTCCTTCCTAACCTCGCGCATGTATTCATTCCTCTGTGACGTGATGTGGTCGGGTCATGCAGGCCTGTTACTTAAAAGCCATTGAAACCCAGCCTGGATTTGCTGTGGCCTGGAGTAATCTGGGTTGTGTTTTCAATGCCCAGGGTGAAATCTGGCTGGCTATTCATCATTTTGAAAAGGTTTGAGGGAGATTACATTTTTTTGTTCATGTATTTTGTTTTTTTATGTTACGTCCGACCACCAGTTTATACATTAATTCATGTCTGTCGTGTGTGTGTGTCTTAGGTTCAATTTCCAATCATTTATTCGTTCATTCATTATTTAATTGCTCTTTAGTACTAATACGTACATATACACACGCAGGCTGTTACATTGGACCCGAATTTTACTGATGCATATATTAATCTTGGTAATGTCCTGAAGGAAGCCAGAATATTTGAAAGGTAGCCCTAACATTTGAAACCTATCCTTAACATTTCTTTAAAAGTTTCAAACTTAAGAATTTGTTGTAAACTCCCTTTCTCAATAACAGGGCAGTCTCTGCGTATCTGAGAGCACTGGCATTGAATCCTAACCATGCAGTTGTGCATGGAAATCTGGCCTGTGTCTATTACGAACAAGGGTTAGTTGATTGAAGCAAAATTGTATTTTTGTGACTGATTGACTACTAAAAATCAAACAACCTTCTCTATCTAGCAAACAAATTAACAATAAAAACCAAACAGTTTAATAGATATGGCAATAGATGCATACAGGCAGGCTATCGAGTTGCAGCCAAACTTCCCAGACGCCTACTGCAACCTGGCCAATGCCCTGAAAGAGAAAGGTCTCGTGAAGGAAGCCGAGGAGTGTTACGATACTGCACTCAATCTCTGCCCTAATCACGCTGATTCTCTCAATAATTTGGCTAACATTAAAAGGGAGCAAGGATTTACTGAGGAGGCTGTGGCACTTTACTGCAAGGCTCTTGAGGTTTTGCTCTTTTTTTTATTATGCTTTGGTGTATGATAGTTCACTACTCACAGTTAGCATCAAAACAAAGATTTTCTGATCTAACTTCACCCAGATCTATCCAGAATTTGCAGTTGCCCACTCAAATCTGGCTAGTGTACTTCAACAGCAAGGAAAGTTACAAGAGGCCCTGATGCACTATAAGGAGGCTATTCGTATATCTCCTACATTTGCTGATGCCTATTCCAACATGGGAAATACGTTAAAGGAGATGCAGGTTTGTCTTAATGGCTGGCTGGTTTTTTTTTTAACTAGCTGAAGATTTAAATTGCATTTGTAACTTTTTCAATCTATTCATTTCATATTCTCCCAATTTAATGTCACAAGATGCAAAATAGTCCTCGCAGAAATAAGAAAAAACCCTCAACACAAACAGGACGTACAGACGGCCATGCAATGTTATGCACGAGCTATTCAGATCAACCCTGGATTTGCTGATGCCCACAGCAACCTGGCCTCCATACATAAAGATTCGGGCAACGTTCAGGAAGCCATTGCCTCCTACCACACAGCCCTCAAATTAAAACCCGATTTTCCTGATGCTTTTTGTAACCTGGCTCACTGTTTACAGGTCTGTGCTTTGCTGCTCCTTTTCAAATATTTTTTATTAATGTGTTTTTATTCTCTTTACACATCAACAAACAAATCAGCTTATTGCAATAAAAAACAAGAAACAAAACATTGAATGAAAACGTAACTAACAGATTGTTTGTGACTGGTCAGACTATGATAGTCGTATGAAGAAGTTAGTTAACATAGTACAAGATCAACTGGATAAGAACAGGCTACCTTCAGTTCATCCACATCATAGTATGCTATATCCACTCAATCACTCACAAAGGAAAGGTATTGCTGCTAGACATGCTGCTCTCTGTCTCGAAAAGGTGCCTGTCTATGTGCGTTTGCCTGTCTTGCATCATTGATTGGTTGTTTGACTGATCAACTGACTGGTTCAAAAGACTCCATATTAAACTAAACACTGTTGACATGAACATCAATCAGATAAGCATCTTGCATAAGGAGCCCTACGTGTTTCCAAAAGATTTGTCATCAAGTGGGGGTCGTCTCCGAATTGGATACGTCAGTTCTGATTTTGGGAATCATCCAACTTCACACCTCATGCAGTCCGTTCCTGGGTTTCATGACAGGGAAAAAGTTGAGGTGGGCGTTTCATTGCTTGTTCTTTCGTGCGTCAGTTTGTAGTGTGTTTGTGTGTGTGAAAAAAATTTTCTATATGTAACAAATCAGCTACTGTCGACTAATTTTTTCAGGTTTTCTGTTATTCGCTAAGCCCTGATGATGGAACGACATTCAGAGGAAAAGTTAGCTCAGAGGCTGAACACTTTATCGATCTGTCTAAGGTTAGGCTTTTGATATGAAAATGCATCTGCTCTCTTCTTCTTTTTTTCATCTTTCTCTTCCTCTCTCTCTCTCTCTTTCTCTTTATTTTTTTGTCAGTTTATCTCAAAACAGTTTCAAGTATTTTTTGTTTTATCTCTTAGTCTCTACTGCTTTTTATCTTTTGCAGATTTTTAAAAATTAAAAATCTTTTATAATATAAACACAGTACCCATGCAATGGCAAGGCAGCAGATCTTATACATGAAGATGGGATCCACGTGCTGGTCAATATGAATGGCTACACCAAGGGAGCTCGTAATGAAATCTTTGCCCTTAAACCTGCGCCGATACAGGTGTGTATGTTTGTTAAATGTTTGTATTCTTATATGTATGTTTGTATGCATGCATGCCTGTGTCAGGTGCCTAATTAGTTTCATTCATCATTCCAGGTGATGTGGCTTGGCTATCCAGGTACAAGTGGTGCTTCATTCATGGATTACATCGTGACTGATGCCACAACTTCACCACTTGAGAACGCTGAAGAGCAGTACTCTGAGAAGTTGGCTTACATGGCTAAAACATTCTTTATAGGTCAGTCAATTGGTTGATCTGTGCTTGGCTGGGCTGGCTGTCCTATCCTAGTATCGACTTACAATTTATATTTGAAATAATTTACACACACAAACACACTCAGGTGATCACCGCCAAATGTTCAAGCACATGACAAAAAAAGCTATACTGACTACAAAGGAAAAAAATGAAACCAGAGATAACATCATGCTTGTCAATGCCATGGATTTTACACCTCTCAGAGCCTTAGGGACTGTTAAGGTCAGTTGTTGAGGGGTGATTGTGGTGATGATAGGATAGTGATTTTTTGTAATATCTCACCTTAGAATACTTACACTGAATCTAATCTGTGTTCTTCCAGGAGGTTAAACAAGTTTGCTGGTCAGATAAGGAGAGAGGATCTGGTGACTCGAGCACACCTGAAGTTGTCACTGAGGTCATCGAGCTGCCCACACTAGAACCAATCTTGTCCATGATTGAAAATGGTCAGCCTCAGTGCACTATCGATGAGGTTGTCATTCAAAATGGAGTCACCACCAATCAGGTCGGACACCTCTGTTTTTATTTCGTTTTTTTATTAAATATTTTGTTGGCTATGAAAATGCCGTAAAATGATTAGTAATGAGTGATCAGAGTGAAGATGAATATTGAATAATGATCAAAATTTAACTAATTTTCTGTTGAATTTCATAAATTATCTCTGTATACATTTATGGCAAACATGAACACAGACAAATAACAAGTGCGCTAGTGGAGAGCAGACCCAATCTGCTATCATTGTGAGTGCCAGGAAACAATATGGACTGCCGGATGATGCGATTGTCTACTGCAATTTCAATCAAGTTTGTCTATGTTGTTGCTGCTACAGTTTTCTGTTTCTACGTTATTGCTTTTGTGGTCTGTTTATATAATGAGATTAATTTTTTGATTCACTCAATAAACCACCGACTCATTTATATGTGCAGCTCTACAAAATAGACCCTCCAACACTGGACATGTGGATGAACATATTGAAGGCAGTTCCTAACAGTGTTCTCTGGTTGCTGAGATTTCCAGCTGTCGGTGAGCCAAATGTTCATCAGACTGCTATCAATAAGGGCATTGCACCTGAGAGAGTTATATTCTCCCCTGTTGCTCCTAAGGTTTTTTTTGTTTGTCTGTTTGTGCGTGTATGTTTGTTTATTCATGCATGTTCATTGTATTACATTTTGTTTGTGTGATTTAAGCAGGGCGAACAAAAATATGTGTTTGTTAATTGTTTTTTTGTGATGAATTGATAAAAACTTGGAAATTATAAAACCAAGGAGGAGCATGTAAGGAGAGGTCAACTGGCTGACATCTGCTTGGACACACCCATCTGCAATGGTCACACAACTGGAATGGATGTCTTGTGGGCTGGAACTCCAATGGTTTCATTACCATGTAAGAAAATTTTTCTCGCCTCTCTTTCTCCTTCTCTCTATTTTTCATTTTTCCTTTGTTCTTCTTTGTTGTCGGTTGATTGCGAATTTTGAATTGATCAATTGATTAGTAAGTAGCCATCATGCATACATTTTATATCTTGTTGGTTGCACTATAGGTGATACGTTGGCATCTCGTGTTGCCTCATCTCAACTGATGACCCTCGGCTGTCCTGAACTGGTCGCCAAGGACAGGCCGGATTACGAGAGGATTGCTATCAAACTGGGAACAGATATGGAATTGTCAGTAGTTTGTTTTGCTTAGAACTTTTATTTCTTTAATGATTTCATCACTTTATAATTGTTCTATATACCATCATCAGTTGATCTTTCTTTTATTAAAATCCAGTTTACTAAAAATGCGGGCAAAAGTCTGGTTTTTAAGGACGGCCAGTGAATTATTTGACGTACAAGCCTACACTGCCTGTATG